ACCGCTGCTAATTTGTACATTAAGTGGTTCTGACAGAAATATTTCACAAGTGAAAAAACAGAAAATGTGCCTCAAGACAATGTGCAACTTCCGTACCAGCAAACTTCTGCTTAACTGTGCAGTGCCCGAGGAGGGGGGACCCCCCGCCCCGACGTGCCCCGGCGGGAGCACGAGGATGGTTTTAGCCCCAGGAGCTGCTCCTGGAGCGGCTGGATTGGGCCCTGAGCTGGGGGATCACGGGCAGGTGGCTGCAGCCTCACTGAAATGGGAGGGGGGGGGGACACAGAGAGCAGGTCCCTGCACTGCTCCCCATAAGTGGGGAAAGGGCTGTCGAGGTGGAAGGGGCTCAGTGACAGCCCCCTCCTCGCTCTGGGGAGGGATCCTTCACAGCACCCCTCCATCACCCACTCTGCTTTCAGCAGCTGCCCGGGTCGGGGTCTGCTCCTTCGTGCCCTCCCCCCCGCCCCCAGCCCCAGGGTATGACCTGCTGGGACTGTCCCCATCGTCACCACGTGGGCCAAGCCGTGGGCCACGGGCTCCAGCCACCCTGCCGGGAAAAGCCACTGGTGCAGGCAGCCACCGGCGCAGGCAGCTCCTGACGGCGTCCAGCCCAGCCTCACCGCGCCCCGAGGGAGAGCACTGGGTGCTGAGGAGGGCTCAGCACCCATGGGAACACTCCTGAGCCATCCCGTCCTGCTGCCCAGCACCGCCGTCTCCTTGTCCCGACAAGCAGGTGACGGTCACAGCCGTGGCCAAAGTTGGTGGCCAAACCCTTCTTGCCGAGCCCCCCGGGGGGCAGGACCCCATCTGAGACGCACTGAGAGCGAGCGGCTGCCTGCCGGGGATGCCACGTGGCCCCTCACCGTGGCCTCTCACCCTCCCCTGCCCCGTCCTCTCCTGCGTGGGTGCTGGCCAGGGCCGGCACCGCTGCGTGTCGGGGCGCGGGTGGGAGCAGGCGCGGGGCTGAGCCGGGTCCTCGGGCCAGCAGCATCGAGCACATGATCTGTTGTGGCAGCTTCCCTGCAGCCTGGAGCCAGCCCCGAGCGAGCGCTGATGATGGCTTTAATTGCTTTCAGATTCGATAGCCCAGCCCATGACAGCCCAGGCGGCGCGGCCGCCGCAGCCCCAGCTGTGCCAGCCAGCCCCGGACCCCCGGCGCAGCCCCTCGCCCAGCCGCCTTCGGTGGGAAAGGCCGGGCAGGAGGAGGAGAGGAGCCGCCCTGGATTGGGGCTTTCTTTTTTGTCCTGGCAAAGTTTTCTCCATGGCCTTGCTCGTGGTCCAGGTGGGGTGAGAGCCTGCATCACCCCCCGGAGCCTTGTCCCTGGGGAAACCCAGCCAGCGGACAGCACAGCCCCCCCTGGATGCAACTGTGAAGCCACCCGGCCATGTGCCACCGTGACCCCCAGGTCCCCCCTCCCCGTGAGTCCACAGCAGCTCCCCTCCCCAAGGATGCAGCTCTGCTGTACCCCCACTCAGGGCCGGGGGGAGATGTCAGAGGGTTTCACTCACCCATCGGAGCTGGGGGTGCAGCAGGGGGGTCTGTGGGGGTGGGGGGCCCAGACTGGCCCTCTCTTGGTGGCTGTGTACCTCCCCCCCCCCCCCCCCCCCACCGCTGCCTGCATGGCCATGTCGGGGGGGGCTGGGAGCTGTCCCCAGGGCAGTGGGGGGGTGCCCAGGGCTGACCCAGACCTCAGGGGGATTCTCCTCCATCAGAAAGTCCAACTGTCCCAAACACCAGGTCCTCACCCCACTGGGTGGTGGCTGTATGAGGAGCTGGGGTCTCCGGGGTGGGGGGGCGAGGGGCTGCTCAGCACCCACGGTGGAACCCATGAGCTGGCCCCGGCTCCGTGGTTCCTGGGCTTACATCCTCCTCCTCCTCCTCCTCCTCACCGCTGCAGGGCTCGGAGCTGCCTCCCCCGGCTCCAGCCCAGACCAAGTCAGTGCAGGCAGCTGCCGGCAATCTCTCTAATGGCTCCCTGCCTGCCAGGCAGCGGGGCGTGCTCGAGGGGAGCGGGATGAGCACCCCAGCACCCCGAGCTCGCCCGTGCAAACGCGGCGCTGCAGCAGTGCTGGGAGTGCAGGGTGCCGGCCAGGCCACGGGTCCTCATTGAGTGGGACCCAGCCAGGAGCCCTGGCCTCAGCAGCACCCGCTCCCTCTGGGGGTGCCAGGGCGGGGAGGGGGTTTCCTTGCAGGCAGACCCCCCCCACCCCCCAAAAACCCCAGCTGGGTGTCTGCAAGTTGGGCAGCAGCAGCTTGCTGCGTGGGAAGGTGAAGGCTCCTCCATCGCTCGCGGGAGAGCATCACACTCAGCCGAGGGGGCCGGGGCGGGGTAGGGGGGGCTGCTCACATCCCCGCTCCGTTATTGCTGGCAGTGCCGGCGGGCCGTCCGGGGCGAGGATTGCATTATTGACGAAGGGGAAGGGCAGAGCCCGGCGGTGGCGGGGGCTGGGCCCCCTCCTGCAGCGCTCAGCCCCGGGCAAAGCGCTTTGCCTGCGCCCGCAGAGCCGCAGAGTGGGCAGGGCTGGCCTGGGGCAGCCACCGCAGAGAGCTCCGGCAACGGCCTGTTCCTGCGGCTGCGAAACATCCTCCCTGCCCGGCATGAAGCTGGGCTCAGGGCGCCCGTGGGCACACCCTGGGGAGGGTGACACGGGTGGGCAGCAAATGCCCTTGCAAACCTCGCTCCGGCACCGGCGCTGCAGCTCTGCCCCGCCTCCCCCCAGCCCGGCGCAGTGCTTGGTGCTGCTCTTTTTTTTAAGCCTCCCTCTGTCTCTAGGCGGAGATTTGTGGCGTAAAATGCACAATATGTTCTATCTGCCCTGTGGGAGCCATAAAATATTCACCAGCAGCTCCCATTATAGTCAGAGTGCATCACGGAGAGCGCTCAAGCCCTCCCTCCCCGCCATGCTCCCTCCCCGTGCAGCCGCGGGGTCCCGGCGGTGCCGGTGCCAGGGCCTGATGAGCAGCCAGCACCCGCCTGGATCCCTCAGCAAGGAACCCCGTTTCCACCTCCAGACCCATGTTTCTACCTGAGAGACACCCCCCCGGGGCTCGGTGGGTCGAGGGGTGGTGACCGTGCTGATGGGCCAGCAAACACCTTCGCCCGCCCGAGCATCCTCGGGGTTGAAGGCAGCAGCAGCAGCAGCAGCAGCCCCGCGCCTGGAGGGACCCTTGGGGCAGGCAGCGTGGTGGGCTCGCCTGCCTGCCCCACTCGGCCTGTCCCACCAAGAGCAACCGGGCGTCCCCGGGGTGGCTCGTACCGTCCCTTGGCTTTTCGTAGCCACAGCCCCTTGACTGGGGTCTTACAGCCGTGCCGGGGCCCGGCGGGACAGCCCCTGCCTTCGTTGTCACACACGTGCTCCAGCCTCCCCACTGTTCATACGGGCCGGTACAACAGCACTCTTCCTCCCCGTCCTGCTGTCCGTCCTTCCGTCCATCCTCCCTTTCTGACCCACCGCTCTCAGTGGCCGTCCCCATCTCCCCTTCAGACCTCAGGCTTAAGACGTTACAGAGTCAAGGGACGACAAATTTACTGAAGCAGCACACTGCTCTGAAGCAGCTGTGTCAAATACAACTTGATCTTTTGACACGCAATTTTATGTAATTATTAAGCAGCTGATGCTGGCTCAACCCTTGAATCACACGCTTTGATTTCACCTCCATCCCTTCCACAGCCACACCACTGCTCTCAGCCCAGCCGGTGACCCTGGGGGTGTCCTGAGGGTGGTGTCCCGGTGGCAGCGTCGCCGCCATCCCCGCGCCTGCTCCTGGGGGATGCCGTCCTCTCCACGCACCAGCCCACCCAGTGCCCGGGTGTCCCCCAGCTGCACCGATCTCCCAGCAGGGCAGGATTTGGCCCCGGTGTGCTGGCGGGCGCGGGGCCCACCGGGACGTGGCTCCGGGGAGAGCTGTGGCCCGCGGGAAAGGCAGGGCGCAGTTGCCCACCTGGGCTAGCCAGGCGGCCACCACCAGCTCACTGGGCTGCCGTGTCTGAGCGTGGCCTTGGCATCGGGGAGGGGGGGACCCCGTTCACAGCGGGGGGCAGAGGTTTGAGCCACGGAGCATCCCCGGGAGGGACGGGAGAGCTGGGCCCGCTGCCTGCCCGCGGAGGCGAGGGTTAAACCCAGCCTCTGTCTCCCTGAACAGACTGAGGGGAGCGCGGCAGTGCCCTCCCCGCCAAAATTAACTCTCCATCTGTTTCTCCCCGGCTGAGGCTGATGGCTTGTGACAGGGCCTCCTGAATGCAAAGATGTTTCGCCCGGAAAAATCTATTACAAGTCGCTGTAAGAAAGACCGAAATCCTCTCCTTCTGTCTCTCCCTACTGGTCTCAAGGTGCCCACCCCGGGCGAGAGCGGGCTGGCGCGCAGCCGGCCGCCTCCGCTCAGCCGGAAAGCTCTCCCCAGTGCCAGCCTGCCTCGCCCCCGGCCCAAACGGGGAGGCGGGAGGGAGGATGGGTGCTGCCCTGGCTGGCGGTGAGGATGGAGAAGCTGCTCCTCCGTCCCCAACTTGGGCGCAGAGGCAGCGGCGATGCCCGGCCACCATCGCGCCCCTCGGCTTATCCCGGAGCTCGTCGCGGTGCAGATGGGGGAAACTGAGGCAGGAGGTGACCCGCACACCGCGCTCTGCTGCGCCCGGGCCCGGCTCCCAGCCAAGCTCCGGCCGGGCAGCGGCTGCCCTCTCCCGGCTGTGGCGCAGCCCTGCTCCATCCCAGGAGAGTGAGATTCTGGATTTCGCTTGATTTTCACCCCTTTTTCCTCCCCGGCGCGCCACTTCCCAGCCCCTGTGCCCCAAAGCGCAGCTAAAGAAACCTGAAACTCAAATTCATCCCTTTTTTTTTGGTGCTCAGCTCTACTTTCAGGGCACCGTGCCCACCGCTCCATAGAAATGGCTTCCAGACTCTGTGCTTGAAGCCTAAAATCTCGCAGCCGGGTGCCAGCCAGCACCCCTTCCCCGCCAGCCCTCCCCACTGCGACGCCGCTGAGCACAGCGAAACCAGGCAGCTTCAGTAAAAAACAAAACTTTATTTGGTCCGTCAGAACCTGAGTTTGAAAACCACCCATGGATAATTCGTATCATACAGGGATTACTGATCTGATTTACAATTGATAAAATATCCTATGTTTCTTAAGAGCTGGACAGTATTTACAGGGTTAAAAATATTCACAGCTCAGAAAGACAGAGAGAAAAAAAAGTGAAGGACAAATCATCCCGAGGAGGAAGGAGCAGGGACGAAAGAAAACAGAGCAACAAACAAAAATACGGACAGAGCTTGGCTCGGCAGCCCCAGCCGGGGGGGGCCGGATGGGTGCCAGGGCAGCCCCCCCTGCCCGCCCCAGGCCCCCCGGGGGGACACAGAGGCAAACCCCCCAGCCTGCACATCCCCCTGCCCAGCCTGGCTGCTGGCGCAGGGTTTGGGGGACACACTGCCCCTCAGCACGGTCCCTGCCAGAACAGGGCTCAGCATCTCCCCCCTGCCCAGCCCGAGCTGCAAGTTCACACAGCTTGGGGAGGAGAGGGGACCCCCAAAACACACACACACACACACACACACCCCTGTGCCAAGCTGGAGAGCCACGATGCCCCGAAGCCGGGGGGGGGTCAGCCCCCCGCGGCGGGCAGCGGCACCCCGAGGCCCTTGCAAGCCTTCCCCTTGTGCTCACGACCTTCCCCCCAGGACTGGGAAGGACGGGGCTCTCTGCTTCCCCCCCCCCAAAATCACCCCCCCCCCCCTCACCCTGGCACATGGCCACAACGTGGTAAAGCCCCAGGGACCGCGCCCCAAACCCCGGGGCCGGACCTGCTGCCCCTTCACCCCTCGCCTCCGCAGGGCACGGAGGGGGCGGGGGGTGCAGGGGGTGGGGGGGGCTGAGCCCAGCGCGGGACGCATGGCTTCACTCCAGGCACTGCTTTCAGCGGCCGCCTTTGCATAGTAACACTTGTGTGATGAGTTGGGGGGGGGGGGGAGGTCCCCGCTGCCGCAGCCCCCCCTGACCATCACCCCAGGGCCCTGCTCCCCCGCCCTGGAGCAGCAGTGGAAGAGGGCACCTCTGCGTTTCGCCCCAAGGGGCGGTGAAAACCCCTCAAGCAGCAGCTTTCCGAAACACCCCAGCGCCCTCTCCTCCCGGCATGGGGGGGGGGGGGCAGCCCCAGCGCCCGGGACAAGCGAGCGGATGGTGGAGGGGGGGTGTCCGGGTGCCACAGCGGATCCCCCCCACGAGCAGCCAGCACAGGCAGCACCACGGCAGGGTCACCCCGGCCCCCCCCCGGCCCCGCTACAGTACCTTGGTGCCACGCTGGTCCTGGCAGCGGACGACGGGGGGGGGGGGGGTGGGGGGGTGGGGGGGTGGGAAGGTGTAACAAGACAGTGGGAACAGCCTGGGGACAGACGGAGGGTCACACAGATGGACAGACGTCAGAGAGGTATATTTTTTTTGTTTTGTTTTGTTTTGTTTTGTTTTGCAGCGCCAGGGCCCTGGCGCCGCAGGAGGGGGGCAGAGTCCTGAGCGTGGTGCCTGGGAAGGGCCTTGACAGCAACCTCCAGCCCCCCCCCCCCCCCCCCGCCTCTTTTCTCCCGCAGCCCCCCGCTGCGTGCCCGGGGCAGGCCAAGGGCACCAAGGCCCCAGCGCGGGGATGGGGCAGGTGGGATCCTGAGATGGCCCCGTGCCCCCAGCCGCTCCTCCTAAAGTGCGTGGGGGGGCCGGCCGGTGCCAGGGCGGGGTTGGGGGGAGGGGGCCAGCGGGCAGAGCTGGTCCCGGCCCTGAGAGCTCGCCCTGGCCCCGCGGCGCTGGGCAAAGTGCTGGGTGTGATGCTCCGGCTCTGCCCCATGGCTCAGCGCTGACGGCTCGGGGGGGGGGCGACGGGGGGGGAGCGCAGGCCAGAGGCTCGGTGAAAATAACGGGGGAGTGGAGCGGGGAAGGGGGGAGGCGCTTCTTCGTCATAGGGGCCGGGGGCCGTGGAGCCCGGCGACTTCGGGCGTCAGCAGCGGGTTGTGGGTGCCCTTCGTCGACATCCAGTCATTGAGGAAGGCCTGGGTGGCTTTGCGGTGCGCCAGGCGGTGGGTGATGGAGAAGCCGGCGTTACCCTCCAGCTGGGAGAGGATCACCAACACCTGCCTGCGAGGAGAGCGACGGGCTGAGGGCCGGGCAGCTGCCTCTGCCCCGGCAATCCCAGCCCCTGGCACCCCAGCGCCCAGCCCCTGGCACCCCAGCGCCCAGCCGCTGCCCCAGGCCCCCCCTGCCAGCACCTGCCTGGCCTCGCCGGGCACCCCCCCCCCCCCCCACTGACCCACCCCTGCCTACCCCGGACCTGTGCAGGGGGGGGACGCTGTCCTGCGTTTTGAGGCTGCCGCGCGTCGAGACGACGTTGAAGCTGTCGGTGCAGTCGCACTGGACGTGCAGGTAGGACTTGGGGTGCCGGTTCTCCACCACCACGATGAGCCCTGCCCAGCCATGAGTCAGGTAGTAGCAGGTCATCCCCTCGCGGCCCTGGGGCAAAGAGCGGGGTCAGGGGTGGGGGGTGAAGCCTCTGGGCATCCCCGCCTCCAAATCTCAGCCCCTGGACCAGCATCTTCCACAGCCGGGGCAAGGGCTGCCCCAGGGAGCAAAGGGGGTGGGCATCCGTGGGGTAGGAGGGGATTAGGTGGCAGGCAGAGCTGGCACAGCTCTGCCCGACTCCTGCCAGCCTGAGGACACGGCAGGGGCAGGGTCCCGGCTCCCGGCTCCTGCTGGCACCCACCCTGTGCCCCCCCCGCCGGCACCCACCTCATGGCGCTCGCCCTTGTTCTCTGTCAGCAGGATGATGGCGTCGGCCAGCGTGGTGGGCTGCGCCTCCACCTGCTCCACCATCACCAGGCGGGAGCTGTAGATGGCCAGGATGTAGTTGGAATAATCGGTGGCCGGTCGGCTGCTGGTGGGACTGGATGCTGCAGAGGCACGCCGAGAAAAGAGGGGGGGGGGGGGGGGGAGGGATCAATGAGACCATCACCCAGCCCGCAACCCCCGGGAGCGGGGCGCTGTCGGGTTGCTGCGTACGCCCATGACCTCCGCCCCCAGCAAGGTCCCCACGGTGAAGATCAAGGGCTTTTGCCACCTCTGTGTGTGTGTGTCCCACCCCCCCGGGGGTCTCCGCCAGGGTCGCTGTGGGGAGGGCAGCCCAGCCCCTTACCCTGGGCGGCGGCGGGGCCTGCCAGGGCGGCGCTCCAGTGGTTGAAGGCACAGCACACGACGGCGTACTCGCCCGGCTCCAGCATGACGTCGCAGTTGACGAACTTCTTGACGGCTCGTTTGCTGTGAGCCATCAGCCGGCCCAGGCTCAGCTTGTTCCCGCTGGTGAAGGTGGCCCGGAAAACCATGATGCACAGATCCAGCAAGTGGCTGTCCACCGTGTCCGACCGCCTGCACCGGGAGGGGGGCAGAAGGGGGGGCCACACGTCACCCCAGCGCTGCCCCGCAGAGCACCCGGAGGCCACGGGCAGGACGGCAGATCCAGAGGGGGGAAGAGTCCTCCCCCTGCCCCAAGCACCCAGCCCCAGGAACCGGCGCGCGTCCAGGGCTTGGGTTCCAGCTAAAACACGAGCATAACCCTGAGAACAGGAGAAATGGTGAGGGGGGCCCACCCCTGAGCTCTGGGGCCCCGTGGGATGGCACGGAGGGGTGAGCGGGCGGTGCGTTTGGGATTTCTCCTGGGTCGGGTCACTGCCTGCAGCCCATGAGCTGCCCAGCTCACCTGCTGCCCTCCTGGAAGAGGGCAAACTCCAGGGCGGCACGCTCCAACACCGTCAGCGATGTCACCGTCACCGGCCCGTTGGCCTTGTTGGGGAACATGCCCTGCACACGCACCTCGTGCCAGTCCGAATGGAGCTTGCAGATATCCACTGAGTCAAAATACCTGCGGGGAAGCCGGGCTCAGCCCCAGGAGGGTCCCGCTGCAGGTACACTGCTCTGTCCCCACGCCCCAGCATGCTGCAGCCCGCGCAGCCACGCACCGGCGGGTCACCCCATGCCCTCTGGGGATGCCCGGTCCTGCCTGCCCCATCTTGACCCACACGTCCCATTTTCTGTCCCCTGCCTGGCTCCCTGCCCCACGGCCTCCTGGCCACCACCGTACTTGATGAAATCGCTGTACTCCATCCAGAAGACCCCCTCGCTGCTGCCATGGGGCATCAGGTCGTGACGCAAGGGAGCTGGCCAGTGCGGCCACTCGTCGGACCAGCTGCCGTTCCAGGAGAAGCGGCCCCAGGGGTTTCGGAGCCGCAGTAACCTGGGGGAAAGGGAAAAAACAGTGTCAGAAGCCCAGGAGGAAGAAAAGCGCAAGGAAGATCACCTCCGAGACGCTCTCCCAGCTCGACAGATCCAGCCAGCCCCACCGCAGAAGGCACCACACCAGTTCTGCCCCGGCCTTTCAAAGCCCCCACAGTATCCTTGACCTAATTTGCCACCCTCCCCGCGGCCCCAGATGCCCTCGTCCTGCAGCTCTGGACCTGCTGCAGCTCCCTCTGCCCTCCCCTGCCTGAGGGGCCTCCAGCCAGGCGCTGTGGAGCAGGGGCTCAGCAGGGACAAGGCTGCTGAGTGTGACAGGGCTGAAAACGGGGCGTCATACAGCACCCGGGCTGTCGTTTCTATCCCCCCATCCTCCAAAGGTGAGGAGGATGCCCCGACTGCCTCATTTTGTTGAAAGAGTTCAACTCAACCCTCTGAGTCTTGTGAGACCAGGTGAACCATCCCGCATCACAGGGCGCCTTGGAGCAGCACGGCCCTGGTCACTGAGCCAGTGCCAGGCAGGGACAACTCGTATGACAACAGCATTTATGTGACAGCCTGGGATGGAGAAACAGCCCTTGCTGGCCACGAGGATGGGAGACAGAACAGTCCCCGAGGCCTTGTCCAGCATGCAACTACCTGTCCCCAGGGTTTCTTGCTCAGGCCGTTGGCAGGAACGGCTCCTGCACCCACGCCAGCCTCCACCCCAAACTCACCTGAAGCCTTGGACATCCCGCACGTCCAGGATGGAGTAGGCGTGCCGTGGACGGAGACCCATACTCTCGTAGGCCACATCATCCACCTTCATGTTGCCTCCGCCACAGGACGCGCCCATGAGGAACCTGCACAGGGGACAGCAAAGCCCTCCGTGTCCTGCCAGGCCTGGAACGGGGGGGGGACGCTCGTCCCTACCTCTCGAGGCACGGGACAGACTCCCCCCCCGCCCCATCCCGCAGGAAGCTCCTGGATATTCCCTCTCTGCAGCAACTCTGTAAAACCTTCCCCAGGTGGTTCTCCAGCCCCACCGGCCTGAGCTCTGCCTGGGCAGGAGTGAGCTCCCTCCACCCGCTCACGTGCACCCCCCAGGCTCCGCGGCGAGCTTCTCTGAGCAGTGCCCTCACCTGCAGGGCTGAAAGCTCTGTCCATGCACAGCGGAGCTTTGCCCAAACCTCACCCGTTTTCTGCCAAGGCCCCGGGGTCCTGCCTGTCTCTGATGGCCGGCAGAGCTCAGCCACCCAGAAAGGCAAGCGGGGCGTCTGCCTCCCCCTCGCAGGCAGCTGGCCCATTCTGCAGGGGTGAGGACAGGCTATTCGGGGCAGGAACTCTGCACCACCCAGGTTTGGGGGGACACCACATGCTGGGACCTATCAGCCCGCCATGCAGCCCCGTACCGCAGGCTGGCAGGAGCAATCCTGCCTTCAGCCGAACTAACTGCCCTCCCGCTCCTCCTACCAGAGCGATGAGCAAGAGGTCTTTGCTTTTGCTTTGTCTCCTACAGACCGCCTATAGTCCTGCCCGGGTACGGCCAGCAAAGATGCCACGTGTGGGTGGGAGACACGTGCAGGGTCAAGCACTTGACAATACACAAAAGAAAAACCTCAAAGCAAAGCAAGCGGGCTCAATGCCAGCCACTTTGAAACTCCTGCAAGACAGCAGTCAACATGCACAGGGAAGTTCACCAGGACTTTAATTTCCTGTGAACACTAAACAAAGGAGAAATAATTTCTTAGAGCTTTAGAGGGGGGAGCTCCACCAGCGCTCCAGATGAGTGCTACTGGTGTCGGCCTCCGCACTAGGTTAACGCACTGGCCCCTCTCCTCTGAGCCTCCACAAACAAGAGCGGCCCCCCTCGCCCCCCTTTCCGAGTGTCCGTGCTCCTGCCACGGCGCCCTCCTGCCTTGTCTTACCCAGCCTCCTTAGAACTCAGCATTTTGGCCCAGATGAGGTCAGTGTCAATGGGCTCCTCACGAGGGTTAGTGGAGCTGACCTGCAGCATCAGGCTCTCGCAGGGGGCACCCGTTAGTGTAGCCAGGCCTTCAATAGCACGCCCTGCCTGGAGGGCAAAGTACGAACCATGAAGCTTGGCCAGCGCCTTCTCAATGAGGGCGACCCACAACTGCTTCCTCTGGGCCTGCGGAAAGAGGGAGAAACACCTCAGGAGCTGCCCCGGGGAAGGAGACGGGAAAGCAAAGGCAGCACGTAGGGCAAAGCCCCTCTCCTCTCACCCACCCCTGCCAGCCCTTCTGCCACGGTGGGAGACGGGGAGGCAGGAGCAGCCAGGCCAAACCACCAGGAGCCTGTGCATGAGGCCAGAGTGACCCCGTTCACTATCTGCTCACTGGTTTCGTTTGCACAGTTTCATTCCCCTTGGGAAAACATCCTGGAGTGAACGTCCCGGATGCCAACAGAGCTGCACCCTGGGGTGCCCGGGCAGTCAGGCTGGCAGGGCTGGGTGTCCACCTTGCAAGCCAACAGTCCCTCCCTTCTGCTTCAACCTGGAGTTAAAAAGGTTTCGTAAAGGAAGAGGGTATGGAGCACATCTGGAACAGCTGCCTTTCACTCGCACGCTTGCAAACCAAACCCAACACACCTTTGGTGGAGGAGGCTGCCTAGAGCGCACGCAGCCGTGGGACCGGTTAGATTTCACCGATGGAACAGGGCTGCTCTTTCAAGGACAAGCTCCAGAAACTCCCAGGCGGACGGGCAAAGTCCTCTACTCCAGCACAGGGACAGCGGCAAGATGTAGTTGCAAGATACAAGGTTTGCAAGGGGGAAACTCTCCCTGGAGTCACTTTGCTCTGGTGCCAGGCCATTGCCCTTGGCATCGCTAGGCTGATTAGGGATTCGGACAGAAATGCAGAAGCTGCGTTACTGCACCCAGAGGGCTTCAAAGCCTCCATCGGCCAGGGCAGCTGGTGTCCTGGTCACCGCTGCAGGTGCACGGCGTGCCGCAGGCTGCGGTCGCCAGCCGTGCTTTCCCTCTCGTCCGGGGCATGTTGAGGCTGAGGGGAGACACCCCTGCTCCAGCCTCTGCCTGCAGGGAGGATGAGAAGAGGAAGGCGTACGGAGGCAAGGAGAAATCTGCTGGCCTCTGCGTCCCCAGCAAATCAGGTTCAGCACCCCGTGCTTGGAGGGCAGCGGGGAAAAGCACGGGTACACACTGCGACTGTGTGCGACTCACAGGTGGCAGCCGAGAGCTGAGAGAGGAAAGGAGGGCAGTGAAGATTTCTTCCCGATGGATAAAGAAAGCTTACAAGTGCTTTTCACTGATTTTTCAGTCCCTCACTCAACAAAATCCATGTTGTTTATTTCTGCCTGAGCCGCAGCCAGGGAGGTCAGTAAGAGCCTCATTTTCCTTTATTTCTAAAACTCCCTTCTTCTCCTTTTTTAGCCCCCACATCCAGCTCACACAGGTAAACACTTGGCAGAAAAATCTCATCAAAATTCAAATGCCCTTGGAAACAAAGGCAAGGCAAGAGTAGCCCAAGTGAAAACCTTTGATGTTAAAAAAAAGAAAGAAGACTTGAAATTTGTAAGAGAGGAAAGATGGACGAAAAGAAAAAAAAGCAAAATAGGTGAATCTCACGCTGAAAACAAAGAAATGCATCTGGACCCTCTCTATCTACCAAGAGAGAAAATGTAGATGCAGACTTTGCAGAACAGAGTCCGACCCACCAGCCCCGGGTCCCTGTCTCCTCCTGACAGTGGCACTTTTGTTTGGCCAATTTTGCCGCCCGAGTTTCCACAAAGACGTTCTCACTCTCCTTCATGGACATGATCCCAGCAAGCGCCCCTGGGCCTGGCAGGCCGGGCAGGGCAGGGCAGAGCGCGCAGTGACGTGCTGAAGGGGCTGAGGGAGCTTCGTTAATCCCAGCAGATGCCACTCGAGTGTGCTCAGAGCAACCGGGCGCTGGCTCGAAACGGGCTGATTTGTTGTGCCGTCCCCTCCCCTCTCCGCAGTCCCTCCCTGGCAAAGCCAAGCTGCCAGACCTCCCCGCAGAGGAGAGAAACAGCTTTCCCTCAGCCCCTTGCAGTGCAAAACACACTGGTTAAAATATTTCCCTTTTGCTGTGAAGAATAGGGATGGCTGCCCCAACAAGCAGAGCAGCTGCGGCGCAGGGAGGAGTGAGGGAAAAGCAACTGCAAATGAAACTTTTCCGTTGTAGCCTAGAAAACGCCAAAAGGGGCCTAAATAGATTTATATTACGGCCTCAAAGAGCTCGGCTGTCTGGGGGACACCGCGAAGAGCAGGCTCCTGGGCTGCAAGCGCCCCATGCAGCACGGAGGGCAGGGGCGAACCACAGCGGTGCGTCTTCCCACCACCTCCGTCCTGGGGGAGTCGAGGAAATGCCTCCCCTCGCCCCCCTGGAGCGCTGCCCGGCCCCTCCCAGCGCCCCCCTCACCTGCGAGAAGAGGAGGTAGCCGCACTCGTCGCAGGGCAGCATGTCATCCACCAGCACCGTGGTCCACGTGCCGTCCTTGCAGAGCCGCACCTGGTAGGCACCCTCGGGGCACAGCGTCCTCGTGATCATCACCCTCTCCACCAGCTCCGGCCGCTCGGCCAGCACGGCCAGGGCGCTCAGGAACCTGCCGGCGGGGCGCGACGGCCTCAGCGGGGCACGGGCAGGCGGGGGGCAGCCGCCCCGCCGTGCAGCGCGGGGGGGCCGCGGCCCGCAGCTGCTCGCTGAGGGGTGAGGCAGGGGATGGGGGTGCACCTCAAAACGGGTTTGAGTAGGGCCGAGGGGTCTGAGCTGGAGCTGGATGGAGGGGGGGGGGCAAAAAAAAAAAAAAAGAGGGAGGGGCAGGAGGGTGTCAGCGCGGCTCGCTCCCCCTTACCAGCAGTTTCCCAGCAATCCCTGCAGGATATCTGAGGGCCGGGGTGTCCGAAACACCGACCACTTCACCGATCGGTCCTTGAAGATGCTACAGTTGATCTCGTGGGGTCGCAGCCACTGTTTTACCCTCTGCTGCACGCTGTCGCCTTCCGGGAATCCCACGGATTTAGGTCCAGGGTGGAAACTGTCATCTACAAAATTGACTTTGTTCTGCGAGAGCGAAAGGCAAGGAGAGCATCAGTGTGCAGCTGTTCGGCACGCAGCTCCCCGGGGTCTCCTGGGACGGGGCTGGCCTGGAAAGCCTCCCACTGCTCCCCCCAGGGGTGAGAGCGGAGCCCCCAGCCCTCCTGCCCGGCCCGGGCAGCCCGGCAGCCAGGGAGCAGGACTGTGCCTTGTCTGCTGGCAACGGCACAGACGCATTTTGTGCATCAGGCCCAGCGTTCAGCCCTGCCACAAGCCGGCTCTCACCTCTCCCAACCCCCAAGCTCCGGACTGCGACTCAAATCTGTCTTTTTCTAATTCACAGGAACCTCCCCGGGCAGGGACCGTCTCGCACTTTGTGCTGGTGCTAAAAGCTGGACCGCGGGGGACCTTGGCTGCCTCTCTAAGTGACAAAGCATGTGAGCAGCAAGCCTGTGAGGAGCCACCTGGCAAGCAAACACTCCTCAACGCAAGCCCTGTGCTAAAGGCTGAGCTGCCCTTGCTCCGGAGGCGACACGCTGGGTTTGGCAGTCCTGTACCACCCCCGAGGCACAACCATGAAGGATGTTAGGGGCACCTTTTGCAATTGGATTCAGCCCGACCACAAATAGGCAATCGACTCCAAAATGAGGGTATCCCATGTCGGAGCTCACCTGCAATAGCTGCTCACATTAAATAAAATAGGATGGACTGAAAGGCAGATGATCCCGTAGGTATTGGCCACAGAGGCAGGATGGAATCAAAGAGCTTCACCAAGGGGAGGAGGGTTGGCTTTCTCAGACAGTTTAACACAGGGTGAAATAAGAACCAGGATTTCTTTGTTATTGTTAATTAAATGAAATTAAAGTCTTTCAGCAAAAGCCGGCTCTGATTTAAATTAGCTTTTATGCACATCAAACTAGTAGTTGTCCTTCCTCTTTTGTTGCAATCCTCCGTGAACGCCTTCTACATGGTGCCTCAATTAGTACCTCCAGCTTCTCCTCTGCAGAAGGGTGTTTTTCAGCTAATAGATGTCCCTGGTTCAAACACCAATGTGGGCCAAAAGGGACACGTCCCAGGGCTTGCTGGCTTTCTCTGGGGAAGCATCTGCTCCGCGCAGCTGACGAGAAGCCGCCTCTGCCGTATCGACCAGCAACCTCACCTTGCCACACCCCAGCCTTACACACTCGCCTCTCGGGGTGCAGCCGGGGCTCCCCGGGAACCCGCCGTGCAGGGCAGCGCAGGCACAGAGCAAGGCAGCAGTCCCTGAGTCAGAGCCTGTGGGCATCGCAGGCTTTCTGTCCCCTGTAGAGTTACTGCGGTGCTTTTCCGAGCAGCAGAGGTGGAAGAAGCAAGCCTTCAGCCTCCCTGGTAGCACGGCCAGGGTCTCCCCCGGGCCAGGACAGCGCCCAGCAGCACTGCAGGAGCCTGAACGCGAGCCCACAGACCTCACCAGCCCTGACAACGGAGGCAATGCAAGAGCCGTAGCAGTGCAATTCCCCAGCAGCAGCGGGAAAGCCTGCCTAACAACTAATTCCCTTTATACCGCGATGTTTCCCTTCACGTATTTCTAAATGCTTTAGAGAAGTTGTCACTACCAATATCCCTGGAGATGGAGGGAAAGAGAGGCACGAGACCTGCAGGGGCAGCAGCAGAGCAGGTTAACTGTTCTCATGTCCAGGCGGTGATGAGCCTGCTCAAGAGACGGCGCCAGAGGAAGAGCCCGGCTTATTTCTCCTGCAAGGGGATAAATCCAGGCAGCAGAGCTCCCGCTCTGCCAACAACCCTTTTCATGCTGTCTGGACCAGAGACGTGACCTTCTCTGCTGCCACCTCCCCAGGACCACACATGCCAAGGAAGGCTGCTGCCTTGCCCCCCGCCTGGCCTTGCTGCCAGGAGCAAACTGTCTGACGGCTGAAGAAGAAGGAAAACAGAGATGGGGCCTCCCCCAGAACAAGAAAAGGCTCTGCAGGCAGAGGTGCCAGAGCATGGCACAGACAGCAAGACTCCTGGGTTGCCCTTCTAGCTTTGCAGAACGTGCTGATGTGTGTTGTCAGTTGGAAAAGGGGAAGGATGGTTAATCAGAGGAGAGAAGAGTGAGACAGCGGGATAAGCAAAAGTGGGGAGAGCACAAGACAGGGCAGCAGATGCCTGGTGCAGAGGCAGCTAGTGGAAGAGGTCAACTCTGCTCTCCTCCCGAAAGGGAGAGAAAGGGTAAAGCTGGAACTTTTTGAAAAAGTGGGGGGCCACGCACTGAGAAGTGTTAGAAAAGGCACCCCTGGAAGAGCAGAGGATGGAGTGCCCGTGACAGGAGCTCAGGCAGAAATCCCTGCAGGGAACAGCACAGCAAGGCGGGCTGCTCCACGCGACCCGGGGCACGGGGACAACAGGCAGAGGAGAACTTGACCGGCCCGACGCTCTCCTCCAGGGGATGGCTGAACAGCCTGTGAAACACCGTGGACAGAAGGAAGCTTGGAGGCTGCCTCACCTGCCAGCCCAAACAGGAGCGTTGGTTGGTGGGAGGCTCCAGGCACACCGGGAGCAGAGCGAGCATGAGGATGGGGAGTCCTCACACCCCCCACCGCTGCCAGTCCTTCCCTCAGACCTGCAGAGCCCCTGACTTCCCACAAACAGTGTCAGAACACAGCAGTGATTTACTTTTAGGGGGATTTTCAGGAAACGGCCCACACTTAACCTAATAGTCTGGTACTGCTGGCTTAGCGAGCTGAACGGGCTCAGCCAAGGCTTCGACCGAGAGCCGTGCTGGATGAAGCAAGGCAGATTGCCCCTTCCTGGCAGCAGCAAGCTGCTAATTCAACTTTGCTATCTCTCATAATTCATCCTTCAGGCCTGATTCCGCTGGATGCAACAGATGTTCCCTGCCTACAAAAGAGACAATTCACTTGCTTAAAAGAGGGGGAATAAGCAGAATCAGGGTCTCTCTGCGATAAAGACATGCACATCTGTTAGGATGGACATGTAGCAATTAAAAAACACCCACGACCCCAAAACTGGATCGCTCTCAGCAGCTTCCCTCCCGGGCCAGACACCTCTGCGGTCCCCAGTCTGCACAGCGGTGGCACAGACATGGAGGCACTCCTTGGCCCAGGCAGAAAACGCCTTGTCAGTATGTCAAAATGGGACTGCAACTCCCTTTCCATCTGGTCCAGAAGAGCTGGAGGCTTCCCCCAGAAGGAGGGCAGCGAAAGAGCAGCATTCACAGGAGCACCTTATGCCACTCAGGGGAAAAAACGGGGTCATCACGGTGTTGTTTGAGACTGAAACCCAACAGATCGAGCCAGATAATTCATAGTGGGAGGGGAGGGTGATAGCAGCTGCTCCTGAGACCCTCCCCTAGAGTCAGGGTACAGCTAAACCTCAGCTGTCCTTCCCAAAACAGGGGCGAGCCATTTGCAGCCGCAGCTGTGCATTCACAAACACCAAACCCAAGAATGTCAAGGCCCAGCTCACGGTTCTTGAACACCTGCAGTTGCTGGCAGCGGCAGCAGCTCCTCTGCCTGCAGCCCTGCCGCTGCTCTGAGCCTCTGTCCGCTGCATCCCCAGATTTTCTGCTCCCACACGTTGCAGCTGCTGCCCACAGACAGCAGTGCCACCAGCAAACCTGGACACACTCTTTCCCAGCCTTCCCCACCCTTGGACAGGGAAGGAGCTGTCCTGACCACCTAAGAATGTCCCCTTCAACCCAGGTGTTCTCTCTCGCCGATTTAAAGTATCACTAGGTTTCAGAGTTAACGCTCAGACTTCCTCACCCTTGGATTGGGAGTGAACTGGATGGGTCACCTCCACCCTAGAGGTTATCTTGCACCAATTTCAAATATTACGTTTGAGTGTTAACAACCAGCACCCAGCTGTTGCAGGTGAAGATCTTCTCCGGGAGCCAAGACACAGAAGGCAGCTTGCCCATCACAAGCGATGCCCTAGACCCGCGGGGGAGGCACGCAGAGGGCCCCCTCTAAGGGAAACCAGGAGCAAGACTAGTTCAGCAAGCACTCACCTCCCGGCAGAAGGTCACGATGTTTTCCCACAGGGCTTTGGCCTCTCCCTCGTCCGTCTGCCGCCTCTTCTCCACGTGCATGCTCTCCCGTCTCTTCAGGGGCTTGAGGCCCTTGCGCTGGGCCACGTACTGCTGCGGGGTATGGCAGGCCACGCAGTGCTTGGCCTTGAGCTCGTTGAGCAAGGTGCAAGCAGGACAAGCCCACTGGCCCGGCCTCTCCTGGCCGGTGGACAACTGGGACGGGAAGAGACGGGCGACCTTGCGGGCGGAGGGGGCCCTGCCGCCGCAGGAGGAGCAGCCGCCCTTGTCACAGGCCCCGCAGTCGGAGCAGCGGGCGGACGGCTCACCCTGCGTCCCGTGCTCCTGGAAGCCATGCAGCTTGGAGGAGCCGCAGGCTTTGCACTTCTGGGCCAAGGTGGGGTTCTTGAGGGTGCACTTGGAACAGGACCAGGTGGTGAAGTCGGGGCTGGAGGGGCTGCATGGGGTGAATCTCACCGAGTCCCCCACCAGATTGATGGTGTCACTGCCTTTCTGGGTGCCACAAGCCTCGCACTTGCTGGCCCCGGCGGAGTTAAGCAGGGAGCAGGAGCTGCACTTCCAGTGGGACGGACTGATCTCCATCTCCTCCTCCAGCACGCTCAGCCGCTTGTTGGACAGCAGCTCCTGGAAGCGGGCAGCCGGGGCAGCCCTGGCCTGACCCTGCGGCGAGCCCTTTTGCCCTGCTGCGCTCTGAGCCACTGGCGGGGAGGCTTCGGGCCCTGGCATCTGCATCTGGGGGGGCACCTCCCGGCGGCTTCGGGGCACAGGGTTGTTCTGCAGCCCCGGGGAGAAGGGACTGAAGGGTGGTATTTTCTGGGCCTCTTGTTCCATAGCCACTGGGCCCTGCGTGGCCACGGCGTCACCGTCAGAGATCTCTGCGGAGACTAAAGGCTGCGGGGTAGAGGGGGCCATGTGAAATCCGGCAGGGGTGATGACTTCAGGGACGACCAGCGCCTCTGGTGGGATCTTGGGCAGGGAGAGCTTGCGTGGGCCACCACAGGCAGAGCAGGAATTGGCCACTGGCGTGTTGTGCAGTGTACAGCGCTGGCAAGCCCAGCCACTCTCCAGCTCCGCTTCCTCAGGGCTCTTCCCCTCTGAGTCCTCACTGCTGCTTTCTGCCTTGGCAGCCTCCTCCTTGGACGTGCCCTTGGGCTCCACAAGCACGGTGGGCTTGGGCAAGATGCCATTGATGATGGGCAAGGGAGAGCCACTGGGCCCTGGCTCTGGGGTGAAGCCACATACCTCACAGGTTTCCTTGCCCAGAAAGTTCCTGAAGGTGCAGCGGGCACAAGCCCATTTCTGTTCCTCCACGCTGAGCCGCAGGATGTGGTTGAGGTCGGGCTTCTGGCGGGGAGCTTCACATATGGAGCACTGCCGCTGGCCAACGGGGTTCAGAAAGGTGCAGCGGGTGCAGGACCACTCGCGGACGGCAGCCATGGAGCCGGGAGAGTGGGAGTGGCTGCAAGAAAGAAGATGACAGAGTGAGGCTGAGGCTACCTGCTACGTGGGAGTACCGTGCATCTCCTGGGCCGGCACGCTCAGGACCTCGCTTCCAGGAAGAGAACAACCAGCAACCCCAGGCACTGATCTCTGGGCACTCGTTCCTCTGGCACCAACAACCAATTTCTCCAAGTCCACGGCAAGGCGCTGGCTTCCACCCAAAACACTTTAGGAAGGCCACAAGAATCGGCTCCGCAAGCCCCACCGCCCCCGCTCTCGTGGTGTGGGTGCACCCTAGTGAGTGCGCACACCGCCTCTGCGCCCAACCTCAACCGTTTTGTCCGTCTGCAGCTCGTTTGTCATTCTCTGGAGGAGGTGACACCCTGCTCTGCCTTCCCGCTGTGCCCAGGGTCAAGTCTTTTGGCGTCACTCCAGCCCACTTCTGTTTCACTTTCTGATCCTGTTTCCTCTCCTTTTTGGCTCACCGTTTATCCACACTGGGAGTTATCCCACACCAGACACGACCAAGCAAAGAAAAGCAGGTTGTGCTGTACGGAGGTGTTTTTACCTGGCTATAGACCTCGGAGCCAGAAGCCTGGCCCAGCCAGCCTGTGAGCAGTAGCTCAGTGCCAGAGCCAAAGCGGGTTGTGGTGCACTGGTGCCGGGACAGCTCACCAGCAGGTTCTGAGCTCAGCAGAGGGAGAACACCATGCCCCAGCTCCAGCTCCTGCCCTGCTTACCTGGGAAGCGGAGAGGCCACAGAGCTCTGCTGTCAGCACCAGCCCTTGGTTTCAACCTCCAGTGTTGCCCGGGAATGCCTGAAACCCTGATGGGGGAACGGGTCCAATGCACACACCAGAGCCACCTCGTTCCAGGGCAGAAAGTTGTAATAACGTTTTCTAGGCGGGTTCAATTTTCAGAAAGCGAAGCGCAGCAGCAGCACCAGCTCCACAGGCCACAGCAAACTCTGAGCTTGCAAGAGAGCAGCTCTCGCTCACCGCGGCCCTCCCGGCGCTTTCAGGAAGGTGATACCAGGCTTGCATGCATGCTGACCAACGCAGAAGGAATCCCAGCCCTGTGTGGTGCCCTTTGTCCCCCGCTCAGGGTCATTTCCTGGAGCTTTGAGCAAAGGTGGGGCTGAAACAGAGCTTTCTGCTTCCTCCTCCTTCACGCAAGGACAAAACAGTTCTTCGGGTAAACGCGCAACACAAGCACAGAGCCCTCCCTCTGTGCACTCCTGCTCCCAGATAATGTGGCCCAGTCTAAAGTCCCAACCTCGAACCCAAGCTCCAGGCCAGCTGTGCCCCTCTCCAGCTGAGCTGGTCCCCTTCCAAACCCTTCCACCCTGCCCTGCTTGCCTGAGACCCCGGGCAGGGCCAACTCTGCAGGAGAAGCCTCCAAATCCACCCCCATGCCTTCAGCAATTCCTGGGAAGAGCAAATTCAGGTCATCCCAGACCAAGGAAGGAGCAGCCTAAATCATGGGAGCTGCACCCCCAGCGGGCTCATCACTGCCTACCTCTTTAGCGTCCCCTCAACAACCAAGTTCGACTACAAAACCGTCTGGAACAAAAAAGGGACAGAGGGTGTTTTGTGCCATAGAGGGCAAGTGCAGAAAGCTATGAGATGCCAGTGCAGTCCGCGGAGGGAACTGTCCTGGCTGGCCTCCAGCATCCCAAGCAGCAGCAACTGCACAACCAGCTTCCCAAGGCGGCTGAGCAGACTGCATTGCAGCAGCGGGGTCTTGAAGGGACAGAAGATGCAGCAAGAACCACCCTGGGGAGGAGGAGAGTGACCCTCGGTTTGGCTGGGCACATGAGAAATTCTCCCGGGAATACTCCAGCAGCAGCAGCAATCCAACCACATTTCCAGACCACGCTCCACAGCCTTTGGAGGAGCAGCTCCCCCTCACAAAGAGATCAGACACAACCTTCAACTCCCTTCTTAAATCAAACATTTCTCCAAATCAAGCCTGAACTCAGGAAATCCATTTCACTGCAAGAGAGAGCTTGAAAATTCATTCTGGTTCATATACCGTGCCTGCATAGTTTGAACTTTGCAAGGTATTTATTTACTGGAGTTATTTAAGGAATCTTTCCCAGATAAAAGGAATATAAACATTGATTTTTCTGCCTGAAGTCCTACAGCTGTGAGCCACTGTATACAGTTCTCGCCCCCGTGGCAGCACCATGCCCACAGCCGTCTGAAAGGGAGATCATTCCTCAAACAAAGGGAGGGAAAGAGCTGAGTGCCCGACTCCAGCAGAGGTGGGAAAGCAAATGGGGCCATGAAGGGCACCGTGATCCTGTCACATCCATTCGTCTTACTGGATGAGGTTCATCAAACCACAGGCATCAGCAAAAAGCAAGCAAAGGCTGTCAGCAACCTGCGCCATCCACGTCCGGCCTCCCGCAGCCTCCCATGCTGTTACCCACCATACACCATGCCAGAGAGCACTCGCTCTAAAAAAAAAATCTACCCTTGAATGCAGATGCTGCACTGCTTACTGCAGATCAGGACCCTCCAGGCACCAGTCTTCCCATTGCAGACATCACTCTCACGCCCATGGTCCTGCCCAGCAGGCAAAGGCTTCTAGCCATGCAACCACAGAAAGAAATCACCTTGTCCCTTCCCATACCAACAGAGAGAAGGGGAAAAAAAAAGGATAACCTAAAAGAGAGAAGCACCACACAAGGGGACAGTGGGATGAGCCGCCTCACCAGACCGGCTTGATGCGGCATCAGTGACGAGCTGTGGGCTGGGCAGGAGATCCAAGCCCCAAGGCAGCAAGAAGGGAGGTGGAAGCCAGGACACTGCAAGAGCTTTTCTCCAACCTCCAATCCCGGCCCTGGGCAGCTGTGACGCTCCCTGGCTGCAGTGTCCCCCTCCTGGTCCCCTCCTCCCTGCCATGCCACAGGAGTTGGCTCCCAACACTGCCCGTTTCAGGGACACCATCCCGCCTGCTGCTGGGACTCCCACCTACTTGACTTTCTCCACTGACAGCTCTCAGGAAAACAAAAAAGCCTCCCAGAAAGGCCATCAGCTCTTCCCTCAAAGGTCTGTGGCTCTCCTTGCAGTGGCAGGGTCACCAGTGTGACAAGCTCTGGCAGGAGACTTCCCCGCCTGCTTCTCCCCAGGATGGCTGTCGTACCATGTCGTGGTGGCCGGCAGCCACACAGCTTTCCCTGCAGCCTAGTTGGGGACACGGAGAAATGGGAGAGGACACGGGACACCCATCTTCGGCTGTCCCCCACAAGCCACCGGTTCCCCAGCCTCGATGACTGGGCAGCACACCAGATTGCAGCCTGCTCCCACCAGACTTCTGCCTGGGACTCACAGACAATTCAAGTGCCTGCCTGGTGCACCAGACTTAATTTAAGGGTCCGAAGATCACAGAGAGCACAAGGCTGGAACCCGTCCTTACATGGTACAACCCACGCTGGCGCATCGTGGATCGCAGCAGCAGCCTCTGCCCCGCAGCAACACCAACCTCTCAAAAATGAACTGGCCGAAGGAAAAACCCAACCGCAGCTTGTCCAAGTTCTGCACTTCTCCCTACAAAGCCTGGCTGGCTCCTTTCCTGGCAGGCAACAAGCCTGCGTGAGGAAATACAGTTGTCTCCACCAGGCCCATCTGCTGTATGATAACACACATGCTCTCCAGCCCCAGAAAACGCAACTGCGATAAACAGCGCCTGCCACCTTCCCAGGCGCCTGTGCAGGAGAGGAGCTCCCCTCTAAAACAGCCGCTCCACAGCGACCTGGCAAAGTCATCCACCCACAGAAGGGCTGTTCCTGGGGAAGGGGACACTTCACAGGGAGCACGACGACGCACACTCTCAGCAGCCCGGCGGGCTGGCAGCAGGGATCTGCCAGAGGCTCTTGTTGGCTGCGCACAGCGAGGAAAGGGCGAGAGCCGTACGAGCCCACACCTCCAGCAGCACGGGCAGGGCTGCCACCACAGCAACTGTACCCAACCAAGCCAGGGAGCACATCTGCTGGCAGGAGACACCACCACGTTGGTAGGACTGCGCCTACCTTGGCAGTCACAACAGTGTAATTACAATACTTAAAAAAAAAAAAAACATAGAAGGTACTCGAGCAAATAGGCAGCTTTCAGCGTGCTGATCAGGTCCCAGGGAACCTCACTGCTCGCTCTGCCTGGTGGAGTTAGGAGCGCCAAAGCCAGCCCACTGGTGAGGTGACAGCCTCTAGAGAGGGATGCTGGCCAGGATGCCCAGGCAGCCTTCACAGGCAGGATCTGGCAGCAGAGCTGCCCAAAGGATGCGTGGCTGTGTCCCTCTGGACAGCGCTTCCGAGAGCACAGAGGTGGCAGGGGAAGGCCGTCATCAGGAGGGCAGGGAGAGTCACTGCAGGGACATCGTGGCCCTTTGCTTCCCTCTGATGTGCAGGAACTTCTCTCTAACTGAAGCGGGGCAGAACTGTTAGGACAAGACAGGGAAGGGATTAAGAAGGCACCAGCTTGTCACCTTCCAAACCCACCTTGGGGACAGGGATGTCTCCCTCCTAGGGCTCTGCTGAGCAATGAATTTAGAAATCTCTGCTGAGCTTGCGTATCCTGTTGCTACAGAGCCCTGGCTCCTACACAGCCATCAAACAAGCCCAGGGTCTCCACCACCCTTGGGTGTCATCTGGGACCAAAGGCTTTTCTGGAGCCTCACTGGAGCGGGGCAAGACGGGAAGGAGCAGGGCAGGGTGTGAGACCGAGAAGTGCCCAAAAACCTGCAGTTTTGCGCCTTTCCTGCCGCGGCAGGGAGCTGGTGCTGTGCCAAGCCTGTGCGATATGCAGCTGAGCTCCAGGGCAGGAGATGGCAACCAGCCCTGGACAGAAGCACCTCAGACTGCCAGAGCAAATGGCTCGAGGTGACCTGGGCACTGGAGCGAGAGATCCCAGGGCTCTGCTGCAGAGCCCGCACCGGCGACAAGATTATAGGAGCTTGGGTCAATCACACACAGCAACAGAATCAGGCTGTTTCTCTGCATAAAACACCTCCAGAACA